CATGAGTAGGTGCATGCACATATATAATAAGCCAAAAATCTGAATACATATTGCCTAAACAGTAAGCAACATTATTTGCACTGCATTGAAAAATGGATACAATGATTTCTATCCAATTTTTACCTCTCCAGTGGAATAAGTGTCTCTGAATAAATCATTGCTTTGAGATCAAACCACTGTGAATCAGGCAGTGTTTAATGCTGTTGGCTGGGGTAGCATTTTGAGGCCAAAATATAGAGATTACCTCTCACTTAAGCCTGAAACCAGGTCCTAATTATGAAACCACTTGTATATGAAGTAATAGCTTTTCAATGTGGGATCATTTCTTGATTGTTAGTCCTTGATGAGTGAATATGTAAAGGAGCTATAAAATAGCCGTAAAATAGATTTCAGTATGTGGATTAATCTTTTTCTTTCTGCCAGTTGACAAGTGGAGCAGTATGGATTCAATTTAATGATGGATCCCAGTTGGTTGCTCAGGCTGGTGTTTCCTCTATTACATATACATCTCCATCCGGTGACAGTGTTAGGTGCGTATCAGTCTTGCTATTATTAAGTATTCCTCCAACAAATATCAGTCTTTAGACTTTTTATTTTCTGATTATTTGGGTTCTAAGCAAGAGCCTAGGGACTGTGGAAGTATCTTTTTAGTGTGTAGGAAATTCCAGTAAAGTGATTTTTTGCAAAGTGAGTGGTGTCAATTTTGATAAAAGTTTTCAACTATTAAAACTTCAATTTGCAAATCCTGATTATTTTATTACTTTTTCCATTTGTTTTTCGTCAATTCAATTAACATTGTATTGCTACATCTATATTATTTTTAAAACGTTATAATTAAAATTTCTTAAAAGGCATTCCATATTAATGTTACATATAAACTTTATAACAATATTACTAATATAATAAATCTTTTGACAGAAAAAAACTATTATATAATAAATTGTATGCTTAACAAAGAAAAACACCTGAACTACCTAAAATTAAGAGAGAAAAAAGGAAAAAATAATAAAAAATAATAAAAACAGGAAAACCATTAAAGAATAACTTAAAAATTTGTGCATGTATATATGAGAAAAATCTTAAAATGTCAAATTATTCAAGTACCAAAATTATGTTTTTCAATTTCATCATTATGATTAAATGTTTAAATGGAAATTAAATCTAGACTGCCCTGAATCATATAGTTTTGATCTTGCTTCCCCTTTAATGCTGAACTAATTCAAAGGCTGAGTTGAGCAAAGTAATTAAGACATCCCTGGGTGCGTGGCACGCAAATGTCTTCCAAATACCACCTTTTTGCAAGCTCATGTTATGCATATTATGCTGTAAGCTAGTTTGCTTCAGTCTTTTCACCTGAACATGTTATAAATGTAAGAAATTAACAGTCCTCCAATTATACAGTAATCTCCAGTTTTAAGGTGGGATAATTCATGTTCTGAAAAGTCATTTTCATGAAAAGACTAGGAAAACAGTAAATTTCTAATGTAACCCCATTAGTAGCCATCTGTTGAAATGTGACTTGAAGTGAATGCTGTATTTGTATGTTTTTCACTCCCCCTCAATTGGAATGATAGAAATAATCAGAATTGTTTCGCAGAAACAATCTGCGAAGCCTGGTTTAAATATAGACCAAGAAATGTGGTTAAAGGAAACTACAAGAACTCTAACCCAAAATTCTTAAGCTCTTAATTCTTAGACTAACTAACTTATTTAAAATCACAATTCCTGATTTGCATATAATGACAAAATAGGAATCTGGTAGTGATGCTAACTAAATTGTGGTTGACTCCTCCTGCCTTTTCTCAGGGGTGGCAGCTGGGTGACTTCTTAGTTACAACATGCATGTACACCCAAGCAGAAATCTTATGATCTACAATTACATGCAAACTTACCTAGTAGTTCTATTTGCAAACTCAGCAACAACAAAAACCCCTGATGTCTCAAACATACATTGAAGAATCGATTTTAGGAACTTCCAGTATTTAAAATATATTTGTGCAGGAGAAATGTGAAGAAAATACAGTTTATCTATGGTTATGGTATACTCAATCCCATTTTTTGCATTTGAACCACACACTGTCCACAAGTTATGTTCACAGTGTACAGTAGGTTAAATGTGGTTGGCTAGTTTGTGGTTCTGTACGTGCAGAAACAACCATAGCATACAACTGGTCTTCATTTTATTTTTTATCCCTTGGCTTTTGTCCTTAAACTGTGATTTAAATAATTCAAGTTTCATTTAAAAACTCATTTACTATGAGGTAATAGCCCTAGTCAGAACCTATAATCCAAGAGGAGAATGCCTGTGGACTCCAGTATGTCCTTCTTTTGTACCTACCTGATTTTTTAAAAAAAAGTCGTTTATAAAACAAAATTAGAAAGTTGGCCTGCCCCAAGCAAAGCACCAGCTTCCAACATATTTAGGGGCAAGAATGCTGTGGGGGCTCCACAAGGTACTTCAGGAGAGAACAGCCTAGAAAGCTCATTCACAGAATGGGTGCTTAGTAACTTTTTAAAAAAAAGTCGTTTATAAAACAAAATTAGAAAGTTGGCCTGCCCCAAGCAAAGCACCAGCTTCCAACATATTTAGGGGCAAGAATGCTGTGGGGGCTCCACAAGGTACTTCAGGAGAGAACAGCCTAGAAAGCTCATTCACAGAATGGGTGCTTAGTAACTGGCTCTGCCAACACAGTTGTCATTTGAGGGCTGTATCCTTCACACGCTCTCACAAATCCAATGTTCTTTGATAGTTTATCCCATTTAAGTCCATAACTTAAACCCAGAACCTAGAAATTACCACCACCCAGCAAGATCAGGTATGAGAACTTCATTTTTTAATCTTCAGATACATGACTATTTAATTAATAGCTGGTTAATTCTGGCTCATAAATGAAGATTCTGCTTCCACAAGTTATTCACTGGTGGATTAATATCAGCATTCTAAAGTATTCTTCAGCATCTGAGAATATTGTATAGTTATCTCTTGTGCTTCAGAGATCTCCAGCCATTTTGGAGCCAAGGGCAAACATCCTGAGTATCGCTACAGATTACCTGTCCTATCTCTTCATTGTATGGGAACACAAAATTGGGAATTCATTGTCAAACCATTTTAACTTTACACTAAAATTTAACAGTTTAGAAAACAAAAACCTATCCAAATTCCCCCAAACCCTACAGCCCCACTTCCCGCCCTGAAAACTAGCAGAGATTATTATGACTTTTGGTCCCTTCCCAAATATTCAGTGCAGTTCTTGCTTACTATAAGTACTATATTACTTAGTATAAATACTATATTACTTCTATTATGTAATGGGGTGATGTAAAACAAGAAATGCTAGCCCAAAAGATTAGAAGTTGAATGTTGGTATCTTGTGTATTTTCTTAGGTATAGAGAAGATGAGAAATTGCCAGAATTCATCAAAGAAAAGTTGCACTGTCTATCTTCCATTCTGGTAATGTTTACTAATCCAGTTGGCCCCCACTGACAAACTGTTTGGATATAAAAAATTAAAATTACTTAATGGTAATAAACTCCTTTTATACTAAAAAGAAGTAGACTTTCCTTAAAGAACCCAGATTGGTTTTTCCTAACTGGAGTTGATGTACAAGTGTTCTACTTTTAAAACATTAAAGCAAAATGACTTGCATTTCATGTAATTTATAGAAAATCCTGTAACCATCTTGTTTTTTCCTCACAAATGTATATATGTGCATGTTCTGTTTTTGGAGCTCTCAAGAAAAGAACACCTCTGCTATTACGATATATGCCTGTAAATACTTTGTATTTTATGCCATTTTCAGATATGAAGAGTACTGTTTTATGATTGTTTTATATTTTTGTAACTTTTTAATGAGATGTCCCTGCAAAAGTGTTAAAAAATAAATGCAGTGATAATTTAGATCCCTTGCTTTATTTAACAGATGTCTAGGTATGCACAGTGATATTAGTTTGCTAATAAAATTCTACATCTACAGTAGAATCCATAAGCTTTTGTACACTTGCATGCACTCCTAAGTAACAGGTTTACTTCATGGTTTGAATGTTGTATTATTTAATTGGGAAAAGAAACCTAATGTGGCTGAAATGTTCCTGGTGGTGTTCTTTTATAACTTACCTAACTCTAGATTTGTATTCTAGTGTAAAGAGAAATTGAAAGTTCAAATAGGAGTAATAGAACCTATACAGTAAAAAAGTTATTGAGCCAACAGAGGTATTGCCTTACTTCCTTTGCATTGGCAGAGAAAGCTAATATGAACAAAACAAATAATGCTGAAAGAAGACACCCCCCCCCCCAACACACACACAACACTGAAAGAGTCCTGGAGAAAACAATCTGGGGTCTCAGTTGCAAAAGCTTCAAAATAAGGAGAAAGAACCCTAAGAGAATATGAACTAAGCAAACTTCATCACAGACCTTTATGAATTCACTACCTAGCAAATATGTGACAATATTTACTTTGTTCAGGTCTATTACGCTTAATCCTTGTTAAGCTAATCAATAATAGAAATAGAAACTATAAATATGTTTTTATATATATTTATAAAGAACCATACCCTATGATGTTGAGGAGATAGCACAGCATATTTCATGACATCAGATAAGATTAACTGCCATTTCTGTTCTCTAAAAACTTAATTTTTTAACCTGATTTTGTTGTGGAAACAGGAAGCATGAGGACTTCCATAAGTACTTTCAATTTTCTTCTTTGTAAAATGATTGTTTCACAAATTGCAAAATGAGTAATAGGAGAAGCTTAATCAATAGTTTCTTAAAGAATTTTACTGGGGCTATATTATGTTTTGATAAGAGAACCAGTTTGGTGTCGTGGTTAAGGCATCAGGCTAGAAATCAGACCACCATGAGTACTAGTCCCATTTTAGGCACAAAACCAGTTGGGTGGCCTTGGGCCAGTCATTCTCTCTCACCCCTAGGAAGCAGGCAATGGGAAACCAGCCTTGAGGGTGCAAAATAATCAGTGTTGACTCCTGGTGACTGCCTGGACTAATCCCTGCAGTTTTCTTGGCAAGATTTTGGAAGTGGTTTGCCGTTGCCTGCTTCTTACGGCTGAGGGAGAGAGATATATAGTGCTTTATAGTTTGAATCTCCAAGGTGCTTCAGAGTGGAGGAAAGCACTAGCATAGCAACTATCTGCTATACTTTGAAGCAACCTCATCTTTTTCTGGGATGACAGCTGCTCTAAAATGTTGCGAACATCTTTTGAAGATTAAACTTGAAATATTGTACAATCCTGGTTTTTACATTGTTCACTTGGTAGAGAGTTTTCATTACATTTCAGTGAAAAACATGCTAATGCTAATACTGTATGTAAAATATAAAGACTGTTTCATGTGCATGCATGTTATTTGATTATGCCTTGACTTGGAGATGAACAAAAACCAAAAAATAGAGGTGTGCACAAAATGGAAAATGGTTTTTCAAACTTCAAATACACACATTCTGCCAAACCATTTTGGATGGGTCAGCAGGAACTAATCTTTGAACATTTTTATTGTACCATGTTTTGGATGAAACAAAGCCAGCAGGGGCCTAGAGTGATTTTTATACACTGAATAAGCCAAGACTGGTGCATGTTGCCCTTTAGCAGTTCCCAGTGTTACATCTCAAAAGAATAATGGCTTGCCTCATAACCTTCCAGTGCCTTCCCTTCCCTGTTGCACTACAGATACCAATGTGCCAACATGGCATGTCCCATCTATCTTCCTGATGTGCTATCTTCCCAATGTTGTCCTTCCCTTTCCTACTTTCCTGATCTACCATTGCTATCTTTGACTTTTCCCCATTCTTATTACCCTCCCACCAAACACTTCAGCCCAGACATCCATGTTTTAGTATGTAGTTGGAATGAAACAGCTCTATTTCATTTTCATTTTGTTTCACAGCCAACTCGAATTTCATTTCAGAGACCAATCAACTGATACCAACTTTCTCAAACACAATTCATGAATTCACCATTTTTATACCCCTATCCAAAATCCTGATACAAAGTGTGCCAAGATACATTTGTGTGTTAAGAAAGGTCTGGAGGTGTGCCGCATCAGTGACACACAAGTAAATGACAGGAAGTGCTGTGCAACCAGAACCCCACCTTTGTGAAATCACCAGGGGTGGACTGCGTCCATTTCTTCTCTTGAGTCTCAGCAGCCTCTGACATCATGGAACTTCTGGTTTTGCGACCTGGAAGTCCTGCCTATGAGATGTACAACCGTGCAAGTTAGCACCTTGTCCGTGTGCTGTGAGATAAAAAAGGTTGAAAACTACTGCCTTGTATGTACCAAATAAAAGAAAGCCAAATCTAAATCAATTTGGTTTGACTATTTCACAAATAGGAAAAAAAGATAACTATTGAAGACTGGGCAATTACCATGTAAGTTTTTTTCAGTTTAATGTAATGAAGACATCTCACAATAAATTAAAGCTTTAGCCTGTTCAGGAAAGCAATGACTAAGATCCTTGGTGTAATGCTGGAAATCTCAAGTATCTATCTCAGTAGGCTCCAATTATTAAATCTGAGGATTCTACTATCTGTTAGTTCCAATCCTTATCTCTGTTACAAGTGCTGCATCAAAATTCTTTTTTTCAAACTTTTAATCTTACTTGAACCCTTTTTTAAAATATACAGTGAATGAATGGATAACCCCAAAATAAAATATGTGCAACAAAATAATTTATCAGGTAGTTTCTGCTATATTTTACTTAAAAAATACTCAGCAGTTAGGGTTTTAGAAAAGCCAGCCAATTATAAAATGCATAAACATTAACCATCTTCATAAAACTCTATTAAAATAAATAGCCTTTTAAAGTTCAGTTTGAAAAACAGTTTCAGTTAAGACATGATTCACAGAATCAAGGTACTTTAAGTACATCCAGTAAATATAATTAGAACTAGTGTCATCTCTTAAAACTATGCATCAAAACAATAGCATCTACTGAATTACAAACTCATTTCCAGTATTGTACTGATGTAAATCTGGTAATAGAAATACTATCAGCACCAGTGTATGATAATTCTATAGGCCACCTGTCAAAGATGCAGAATATTGAAAAGAGCAAGTAATGACTGAAGTAAAACAAGACTGATCAGAGATAGCTAAGAGCTCTGCTCTTGTAGCCTCTCATATCTGACTGAAAATGGAATAAGTCTCTTGTACACCACTTCAAGCAGTAAGAGAGAAAGAGCGACGATTCCACAGATAAAACCAAATGCCCAGCGGGGTCCTAAATAACTGTAGAGTTGGCTGACAAATACTGGGCCCAGGATACGTGCACCACTTCCACAAGCAGTTAGCCATCCCATATAAATACCCTAAAACAGATCAGAGGATTGTGTTCAGTGTTAATGACAGGTTTGAAATATTCAAAATAAATCTATTATTCTCCCATTTTGGCCACAGCAAACCATTATTATCATTATCATCATTATCACTGTTGTCAGTAGTAGTAGCAGTAGTATTTGGATTTATGAGGCGGCCTCATTTTCAAGCAACTCGAGGTGGTATATAGGATAAGTTAAAAACACAGTAGAATAATAAAAGAATAAAATATCAAATAACCAGTAAGGAAATACAAAATTTAAAATAGATTGTGGCATATTAATGGATTCACAAAACCTCTCAGCCCGGGGCCTGGTGGTAGAGCCAAGTCTCTATGGCCTTCCTAAAGCACAACAATATGTTTTTTAGTAAAATGGTTGCTGTCCCAAAAAATCTCCCTGCTCCTCATACACACAACATAATTCAGTAGCTCAGCTTTATTAAATATTTTGATAATCCTAGGAGACCAAAAAGTCCTTTGCTGAAATAAGACTATGCCAGGAAGCAATTCATAGCTGTATAGCACTAAAATTATATATGCCAAATGATTAAATATACTGCTGTTATGTAGTTTTATTGTTTAACCAAAGCATGACAAAAAACAGTTCCAAGTTCGACAATCTACCACTTACCAACTTATTTTCCAAAACTGTTAAACCTGTTAAGAAAATATCAGCCTAAATTTAAATCTCACCTGAGGTTTTGGCCCTAAAATTTTTGAATATAGAGTATATGACATCACATTACAGGCTGGATAACCCAGTCCTATTAGAATGTTGGAAGTGATATACTGGCCCAGATGGATTACTGGAGTATAACGACACCAAGATTGTATACTAGGACATCCTGTTGCTTCAGCCGTATTATTGGATGAAAATTCAATTTGTCTTGTCCACAAAAGCGCAAAACTTTCACCAAAGGTCTTTCTTGGAATAGAATTATTCTTTATGTCTGAAAACATAAATAAATATCATATATGGCCATAGATATATTTATCAAAGATCTTAAAATTATAATTCAAACACTGAAATTTATACCTGCCCACTGGATATTAGGTAACTGATTTCCCCAAGGTAACAAAACAAAGAATCCAACCAAGATAATCACTAAACCTCCACAGAGGATTGCACGTTCACCAGTCCTGTTGAATAATGAAAACTATAATTACAATACCCATATTTTATCCAAGTAAAAATATGTATATAATGCTAGATTTTGCATATCCAAAGCCTGGGGTCCTTTTTTAATAACATAATGGAATATTGCAAGGTAATAATTTAAGTATCAATGATATTACATAAATTGATTACTATTGAAGAAGTGCATTTATACACAGCCACTTGTAGTCTAGGACTTACCACTTTTTTGAAATCAGTTTTTTTAAAAAAAACAAACATTACAGTAAGACAGTGTAATTTGAACATATTACCTTTTAGAAAGTTCTTTAACTGCTAAAAATACAATCACTGATTCAATGCCAACAGCACCAAGGATTAAGCCATTGATAAACACTGCTTTTTTTCTGGTCCATGAATACATATCCATTGTTAATGGTGTAGCTATGCTAAAGAATAGAATAAAAGGCATATTAAATTTGGTCTATAGTAGAGAACTTTCTGAATTTCATATGTTCACCAACTATCCAGTTATAGCCAACATCTTTGGAACTTGATAAAAATCCATGAAGTATTTGTCCTTAACATAAAAAACAAGTGCTACAAATAGAAATGTGTCAAATTCAAAAGCATGTAAAGAAAGATATTGGTCCTTGAAAAAAAGTAATATTAAATAAATTTATTAAAATTATCTGAATGACTGTCTACTATTTCTGTGTCAACAATAAAAGACTGAATGGTTGGTATTATATTGAAAGTATTACTTATCCATTAATTATATTTCGACTTTCATATTATGTTTCCTGGCTATTTAAATAAGAGTAAAATGCAGAAGATTAATAAATAACAAAGTTTTTGGAATACAATTATAGCCAGAAGACTGCAAAAGAGATTATTGGCATTTTACAAAAAATACTACATATGTGAAGAAAAAGTAGCAAGGGAAAATTAATCATCTTCATAAAACTGTGAAGAAAAATTTCTGATTAGGAACATATGTCAATATATTTTAATATGTATGAATTAAATGACAAAGATCTTACCTGATTTTATAAGAGACATTCTGTCATTTGTTTTACAGCTAGGACAATATTACTTTATCCAGTTGGTCTATAAACTATTTTATAAAGTATTTACTTGGTAATTTCTCCCTGATCAATGCATATTGCTATCCTCCTGTCAGAATTTCTCCTAAAAATTCAACCTGTGATTTATTCTGAATTCCAAACATAAGATTAAGTACATATATCTTTACACTCCAAAAACACTTTTTTTCTGTAACTCTATATGGTGCTGTGTAAACACAAACAGCTTCTATATAAAGGTGTATTGCAACAAGCCTTTCATCTTCTTTAGAAGAAAATCTTTGGATGTCACATTAAGAGACAACTTCAGTTCTTATGTACACTTCGTGCTGTTGTAGAACTATAAAATCTGAATGAAACTTTGGAGGGTAAGGTATACTTACGTTTCAAAAACTGCAAAAATAAATAAGATAACAAAGAAAAGAAAGTTTGTTGATAGAACAGCAACATGGTCAATGTATCCTTGATTATCCTGAACCACTTCGTTATTTTCTGTATTAAAACAAAAATAAAGGCCCTCATAGTATCAATATAGATGGAATTATCAACGAGAGTTGATTATTTCGATTAATTTGAGAAAAGCTTAGTTCAAGCAAGGAAATCTTAAGATGCAATATGTGTAAGATTTATGGACACAAATGCAGTTCCTTTATTCCCCTGTTAATGGCAGAACAGTATAGTTTCCATTTCATCAGAACATGGAACTACAGCTGATCATTTCTATCCAGGAGAGAATCTAGCATTCACACTGCAGCTTTCCAGTTCTTTGCAACTTTTGCATGAAAAAAAGAGCAAAATGTCTGAGTTCATGAATCTTGTTAATCACCCTAACATAACCAATAAAAGTCAAGCTATGTATTCTCCCCTCCCATCTACCACAATAGAAGATGTCTGGGATTTGATAAACTAATTTTTCATTACACATGACTTATGTTTTGCTCTTCTTTAACTAACACAGAAAACTAAAAACTCTAAATTTCTGATCTATATGAAATTGGAACCTAGGGTTTAACCAATTCCAGAAGTCGTCTAATCTGGAAAGTGACTGATGTGATGAAAATTAAAGAAAAAGGAACAAAAGAAAAATTACAAAAAGAATGACTTCTGACTTCTTATACAGCAGATGTAAATGAATCATATGGTGACCTCTTACTCTTAAACTACATCTTAACATACATATTTTGTATAACCTATTATTTTGACTAATCATCAAATCCATAAATCATGATTTCATTTTTTTTCTGTCTCCTGCAAAAAGTCCAATTGGCATTAAAGATAGTCAATGTTTTTTCTCTAAGCAAAGCTGTCAATTTTGCCA